CGCATGCTCGTGAATAAAAACATGGTTTTAAAACCCATGAATCGGGTTTTAATTATTAAAACCTTAAACCCGATTGATCAGGAGAAAAAGATTGGGTTTTTACCACCCCTGATTTTCATAAACCAATTTGGGCACACATATGATGGAAAAATGAGACAAGGAATATTTGTTTCACTTGCCATCCAGTGCACGCTTTATATTTGGCCTTGTATACTTTAGAAACTCTATACGAATTTGAGTCACCTTATTGGTGCGACGCAAAAAACGTCTCAACAAAACCTTGCGGCCATTTGAAGCCGGGTTAATAGTTGTTGTCTCATATAGGTTTGAGACAACAACTACAGTTATTAACCCGGCTTCAAATGGCGGTCAATTGTAGGTTTGAGATGGTATAGACAATGTATAAATATATTGCGTTTGATGTATTAATATCATCTTCAACTCGACAATAGCGTACTAAATAAATTCTGCTGTCGTCAGTATTTTTCTGCAACTTCATGGAATTAAACTCCGGGGTACCTTGTGGATGTTCAGTCGCGAATTAAGTATATGCGCACATTCAATCTTCAGTAGCAGGATTCGTGATGAATGCGAAATAAACCATGCACTAAGACTTTGGAGATTGTTTCTTGTGAAGTTTATACCTCCAAGAGCAAACGTCTACAATGCAATTTGCCAGCGTGCTTGGATTTTACCGAAGATGGTTGAATTGACCAGGAGTGAGGCGTCGGAAATATTCCGATGCGAACTGCGTTTTCCACACAAATCAAAGTAAACATACAAAGTGGAAACCAATAGTTACATCGAATATTAGCCAATCAAACGGCAATTTCGCAGCGCGAATCACGTCAAAATTGGACAATGGCTCACCGTGCCATGGTTTCCCAAGTGCACTGGCATTGATATGGGCCACGTTTTGACCTGGAAGCACGAGAAGATGTCCAATCGTAAGATTCGGCATCGACTCAAACGACCTGAGTCACTCGTGCGTTCGTACCTGACGTCCCCGGACGCGTACGCTACGAAGAAGCGGTTGGAAAGGCGCGTCCAGTTGGCGAAGTGTGACAATCGTCTCATTTGTCGCAGCGCAATCGTCCGCAACTTCTCAGCGGTGCAATGTGCCAAGACTCTGTCGTCCCAACAAGTGACTGACAACCTGCTCTTTGCTAGATTTTCGCAAATATATACTTCGCCATTTTCTATCTTGTGGTTCGAAAACGATCGTTATGCTCGTCACCAACCACCCTGCAAACCACACTATGGGCCTTTACACTACAAATTCGTTGATGTCGTCGCCTGTACAGGCGACATCATATATACATGTACCGGTCGAAACCCCGATGGAGACATCAGGATTAACGGTAAACACAGGTACATATGTATGTACGAATGTATGTATGTATGTCGAATTCGAGACAGAATTCGATGACTCGAAATCCAGTTTGCGACAAAATACTCAGATTGTGGATGTCGCACAATCTGCATTCGATGCTGCGTTTTGCTGATGAGTGCCACTTCAACCAACAAAGTCGATTGTGTCGCTGACTACACAATCGATTTAAACAGCAAAGTTCAACATGACTGGGTGGCGGTTGTACTGGATCGCCGCGCTCGTCGCCGCGGTCTGCATGCACGTATCGTCCGGCCAAGACACGGCTGTCGCTTCGTCTGCAGCGTTTGGCGATCTCGAAGCCATGTCGTTTGCCCCGCCCACACCGTCCGAGCAACAGAAGAACCAAATGGATGTGCTTGTCATCGTCGGCAAGGTGACCGCAACGTCGGCCCGGGTGTTGTACGAGCCGCTCGTAAGCGACGAGTCGTCGATCACAGTATCGTTGGTGCTGCAAAAGAGCGCCCAGGATCATGTTCTCGTCAAGGCATTCACCCATCTCCAGCACCAATCGTTCCCGTACGTCGCTGCTTATGACGACCTCGTGCCCAATTCGGTCTACTTTGTCCACG